TTAAACTATTTTCCGCTAAATAAATTTTATTTCCCGACGCTTTTTACCCCATTGATTAAGGCGCTTGAGAACACCCTTTATGTCAGAATGTTCCAGGGTTTGAAATTTTCCTGGATACATGGCTACAAATTCAACCGGTTTATGCAACTTCCTTTTTTTGAAAGCCATATCGGACGTCTATTACTTCTTGTTGGATTTCTTTCACGAGGTCTTAGCGAGCTTGGCAACCTTTTTCTACGAATTCAGGCTTTGTTCCTTGGTATCAATTAGAGTTGCAGGTGAAACTAATTAATTTCACTAGGAAACTGGTGCACCATCGGTGCACCGTTGAAGATTAGTTTCATCTATAACTCTAGTTTCACCATCGTTGCACCAGTTTCACCAGTTTCACCTGGTGCACCATTGGTGCGCCATTGAAGATTAGTTTCACCTGCAACCCTAGTATCAATGAATTTTTTTTTTTTTTGTCTTGGATCGTGAGCTCAGTTCGTGATGCCATCATACGGAACGTACATGCATATCCTCCAACAATATAATTGATATGAAAGAACATTTTATTTACTTAGGTGTTTGCTTTATACAAATTGACCTCAAAATATTAAATTTTCAGGTTTATTAAACAAATTATTTTAATATAATTATGCATTAATTGTAATGCGCAAAATCATGATTGAACTGTCGAATAGATCTTTATTTAAACATGAAATATTTTTTAGTGTAATAAAAAAAACTTTAAACGATCAAGCTTTAAAAATTTAAAGTTTTTTCAATTGTGTACCTTACATAGAAGTTTCATTTCCATCTGTTTTGGACAGGTATCTGCAAAGACTTTATGTACTTGTTTTAGTGCAAGATGTGCGAAAAACTTTAGTCTTATGCACCAATAAAATTTAATTCTCATTGAAGATAAGACAAATTTATCTTACTTGGTCAAATCAGTTTAGGGTACAAAACAAGTTCAGATTATGCTATTAAAAAAGTTAAGATTATAACAAAAATAATTATTCACAACTTATTACGGTGATTACAACCTCTACGATAACTACAATCTATACCGATTATTCAGCTATTTCAACATTTATAGCAATACGTCATTTACAACTTTAGTTGTACGTACGTAACTAAGGGAACAGGAGGAACAGTCGATGTTACACGACTGATATTTCACCCGGTGTGCAACATATAAAAAAATTATTTTACAATACCAGATCATTCCGCTAGTACGTACATGTTATGATTATAATCACACACCATTTTATTATATAATAAGAATGATAATCATAACATGTACTAGCGGTATTGTAAAATAATTTTTTTTATATGTTGCACACCGGGTAAAATATCAGTCGTGTAACATCGACGGTTTTACAGCTATTTTCATAATTCCTGGAACACCTGATAAAAATTGGCCGAATGATTTTTCAGCCGATTCGATTAAGTTT